AATATACCTGATAACAGTGCCTCATAATTTACTTATTTTAAATTGTAGAATGGTGTACAATGGATAATTTTAAACCTCTTAGATTACTCTTCACATCTAGATAAAGTATTCAAAGCCTATGTCTGTAGGATTTTGATATAGCTGTAGCTCAGACCCTCCTCCAGCGTCATGGAATAAGACACAAGTGTCCAAACCTCTTAGTAAGAGGACCACACAATCATAAAACAAATGTAAGTAAATAACAATAGTCAACGACTGGATTCCAAAGTGTCTGAGATTTACAGCAAGATATAGCATGACTGTATTGGTGAAGCTGAAGTTGGTTGGATGACACTGTCAAAGTGCCTCACTTTGTGTTAGCAGCAGAGGGCCACATAAAGTGGCCCAGAGGGCCGCAATTGGCCCGGGGGCCTGAGTTTGGACCAGTGGGGGCAGGTCCCAGCTCAAAAGTCGCCAAAATGACGTGCGCTGACATGCTTGAAATACCACCCCGGCCGATGGGGGTGGATCCAGAAGAAGAATTAGCCAATGCTAACATATAGCATTGGCAGACCTCTCAAATATGTCTTTACAGGATGGACCAAAAGTTGGCTCTTGGCCCAAAGCTCCGTTCCACATGTGCGTCAATGCTGAGGGGGGTGAATTTTTTTGGTCCACTCTAGTTTACTTGCTGTGAATTTTTGAAGTCTCTCGTTCAAATGAATGGAGTTGCGCCGGCTGACGCATGCGCAGATGCGTTTTTTTCACCATTTTCTTGTGGGCGGGACCACTCGCGGCCATTTTGGATAGCTCCAGTAGGGCAAATTTTTTGGCCCATTAGTTAGAACGGCGGAGATAGGCGTGACTCTGTCCGTTAATATATACAGTCTATGGTTTGGTCATGCCTGGAGTAAGATGAAGTGGGCATGGCTGATGCCAGCTAGTTCGACGACCTCAACCTGCAACAGCGATAGTAAGTAAAAGTACAAGCGATGCAAGTTCTGTGAGAATTGTTTGTAACGCTACATGTGAAGTGCTTTAAGTATCAAACCGCGTGAGTGTGTATAGGGCAGAATACATTTATATAATATGGATATCTATAGTATACTTTCTTGAAATTACCCTTGGCATCAGTCCTTGTTATTTTTTTGCTGTTGGGAAAAAGAAAAGTAATAGAAAGTACTTGAAGGCTAATGCCATGTTTTGCCGTTTTTTTGGATTGCCAATGGGAAATTTCCCTTTTTGAAAACTTTGTTTTGTATTTTAGAATAAAGATACCGTTCAAGTTTATTTTTTTTATTTTTTTATAAAGGAGGAATCGATCACAATCAGTTTGGCTCATCACAACCTGTCTGTGTTGATTATATCCAGTAATAATTTCCATTATGACCTATTGACAAGCTATGTGCCCACCGGCAACTATAGTTGCCAGCACTAAAAATGCTATTATCTTCAAGGCAAGGTCCGAAATTGAAAAAAACATAACATTATAATATGCATTAACACTCTGAAAAACAAATGGGTTAACATGTTCCAAGGCGCACTAATAAACATCTCAAGGCACACCAACGTACCACGGCACATTGATTGAAAAGCACTGCGCTAGGCTATGTTACAAGCTATATCTGTGAAAAGGTAGCACTGTAATAGTTTAAGCCTTAAGATCCACCAAGGAATGTTGTTTTAAACCAAACTGTGCAGCATAACAAGCAAAACATCTCTATCACATAAAGCAGGTGTCAAAATATTCACCAAAAGTACCAGGAGAGTTTAAGAATGCATTTATACATTTCTGAAACATTACTTGATGAAAAACTACAGATGCCGAGGGATCCAGTCTTAAGTCTCAATTCCTGAAGTAGATTGAATTTATCGGCCCGATGTTGGAGAATAAAGTTCAAGTCTAGAGCAGCGACAGGAGGCAGAGCGCTTTGGGAAACGCTCGGATGAAAAAAGGGATTGAGTTATGAAGCAGCATGGCCCGAAGCGGACACACAGAGCAGCGGTGATGAAGAGAGGTCGGCCATCTTGGAGAGAGGGACGCAGACGGAGACGGGGGGCTTCTGACATAATTGGACCGAGCCTGCACACACCGCTGCACTGGGACTGGCCCCGAGCTGGATTCACACAAAGGGAGATGATTTTTGATAGAGGAGTCAAGTTTTTTTTATAAGTATAGTTTTGCTGGGAATACTGATTGAATCATCCGGTATAGAATGGTATTAGATAAGCTTTCTTTTATTTAAGGTGGATTCCTCAACTGTCCTAGTGGCGGGTCTTTTCTTTCTTTCCTTCATCCATAGACTGTATATAGCCCAATAAAGCCTGATAGGAAAGTGCTAATGGGTGAAGTTTTGCTCCAACTTATTGATTTGTTTTATTTTAATTTGGTTGTAATTCCAGTTAAGAGCCCTAGCAACTGACCAATCAGGGGCTTTCTATTCCCTAAATTTGACTTTGGCTTCAATTCAAAGTTTTCTTATATAGCCCTAAATCACAACAGTAGTTATCTCAGGGGATTTTACACAACCGTTGAATTCGCCAACAGAGATCAGAGAATCAAACAGTTCAAAAACCACAAATGTAATATATTTTGTTAATTATTTAATTTAGCAAACAAACACATAATAAGAGAAACAAAGAAAAGGCCTAGTTCAGACATTTGCAGATGTGAAGAGAACTGATGAAAGAGAGATGATAGGATAGGATTAGACAGAGATGACCAACAATATGTAGTTGGAGATACAAGAGGCAAAAGAAGAAACATGAAGTGCATATAGATGCGGGGAACATGAAGTATGAGATGGAGGGGGGTAAATGTTGAAAATAAAAAAGACAATACCAGCAATACATATATACAGTCATGGATATACAGGGTGTGAAAGAAGAAACAGAGAATGTAGTACATATTTACTTCATTACAGATGGGAGGAGAACATGAGGTATAGGATGCAGGGGTTGGATGCTAAAAACAAAGTAGACAATAATGAGAAATGGGAAATAGGATGTTTTATCTCTGGTCATAAAGATGATAATAACTCCAGTAGATTATTATTATTGCAATCACTATTATCACTACCATTACCACCACAACCACCACTATGTTCATTATCATAATGACACCAAGATGTGTCTATACACACACATACATACATACATACACCCGCCCCACAGACACAAAGTCTGCCAACCTGAGTTTCACCAAGCTGAGCAGGTCCCAGCCAACATCATCTTTTGCTCTATCTGAGTGATTGCATCTATTCCAAATGTGACATATACATTTCTCCATTGTGAAATCCACAAATTTTATCTTATCTTATCTTAGATCTTCACCACTGTTCTTTTTGTTAGACCCTATTTATTATTATTTTTGTCCATGACCTCGGATTACATACATCATATATTATGTTTACATTTATGCAATATGAACAAACAGGAACTGAAGGAAGGAAGACACCAAGTCTTATCCTGTCCCTCGTTTTGCTGGTTGCAGAAACATTTTAACTCACAAGATAATTTAATTCACATGGTGCAACAGACCCTCCTTCATCGCAAAGGAACAACTCTAAAACACAGAGGAAAAAGGTGAGAAACCTGACCAGACGGACGGGCTTTAGAACTTAGGCTACAGAACGAGGACCACAGTGCAGGACTGAGGCAGCTCGCAGGCGGGCAGGGGGTGTAGCCCACGAGTCGGGCAAGACAGGGTATTCCCCAGGTGCATATGGAGGAGGCCGGGTTGTGATCAGGAACTGACCAGCGCAGTTCACGGATTGGCTTTTTGCTTGCCAGGCTGTTGCTTCCTATGTCATTTGGCACCAGATTCTTGCGTATGGACCCAGTTTGAGCTCACTCTGATCGTCTTAGTCTACTCCTTTCACAGTCTATGTGTTCATCTTGCCTAGACATGAACATACAGTTTGCTAAAAAACGTATTTTATCCCGTTTGTTATTATTTGAGTTTTTACCAGTTTTTTTTTTTTTTAAACTCATGCATTCCTTTTAAAATCATTCTTTATGTAGCACCTTTTACAGACCATAGTAACAAAGCGCATTACAATTGTGGGCATTTGTCTCCCACTCCACAAAGATATGGGAGTGGGGTTGCCATACAGGAGGCGCTTCCCTTGTCTAACTTTTAGACAAGCAGTTTTGAAAGAAAGAAAGGCAAACAGTGCACAAAGATAGAAGTCTGAGTGAAACACACAATTGTTTGGCTCGAGTAACAGCTTTAAATAAATGACAGAAGATGAATGAGCTTTTTCAGTCACTAAAACAAGTATATCTGACTCAGTTTTAGTTCTGGAACCGGGCACATTGGAATAATACAGTATTGAAATAGTCCCGGCCACCAAAGTCGGAGTCCAATTAGTTATCTTATTTATTTGACAGTGAAAACGCAGCCGAACATAGTTAAAGCAAAACATCCAACTGATGCAAGACATGTGGAGCGTATAGCCAATGCTAATTTTCAACTCCTGTCCCCGGTTGAGCTTGTCCCCACATACTAATTATACAAGTCATCAAAACACAGCCATAAACAGCTCAGATTCAGATTATTCCACATTTGCAGTTACAAACCTCCTTGTAATATGCATGCCAAATAATCCAGTTTGCACAAAAAATCACCAATTTACAAAAAGTGATCGGACATCTGTACAGACCCATTCAAACGGTGAATTGGACATTTTTGTTGTAGATTGGATAATATACTACTACTCTAAGGAAACATATGTGTATTTTACTATACTTTAAACTGTTAGAATCTCAAACTCATTCTTGTTTGGGTTGAGACTGGATTTCAGACTGAGGCTCAGTGGTCAGATTGTTCATTGATCATGTGTGAGGCAGGAATTAAAAGTCTTGTTTTGTATGTGGCCTGCGGATTTCCCCATTCCAAAGTCCCCAAATGTCACTGCGTCGCAACCATTAGTTCGAGCGCAGTGGGTCAGTGACTCTTATGGCTTCTGCCTCTTTGAATTACATCCAAAAATCCACAACATACAAGGACCAGAGAGCACCATCTACTCAGCCTTCAAGCAACATGCAAAGGACTAATGCAAAATATCAACAAAACCAGACGACCAAATATTCATGTAAATATGAAAAACAATATGTTTGTGTGTTCTGTTTGTGTTTTTAAAAAGGATTAGAGGTAGGCCTGCTCAACAATGGAAGAATCTACAATGTGCGATAGTTATGGGGCTTCGATTAGAACATATTGCGATATTTTTGTGCCCCAGAGATATGAGAATGTTGGATCAGCTGTGTTTTTTAGGAAGTTGTTGCTGATCATTCTGCTTACATCTTTTCTTCAATGTTGTGTTCTTTCTTGTAGCTCAACCAAGATAATCTTTGACTCTAGCAGTAAATGGTCAGTAATGAAAAAGTCTATGCTTAAAAGAAATACCTTAATTATACATACATTTATTGTACCTTCAATATTGCACATGTCATTATTTCTATAACAATATATTTTGATATACTGTACAACTATACTGTATATTACTTGAATTATTGTCTGTGTGAAGAAAAATTGCTTGCAACCAGAAGTATTCACACACAAGGAGTGTTAATAATTAATATTGAACAGAAAACATGTCAAGAGAGGCCTTAATAAGCTAAAAGACCGAAACAGCGGATTAGATATGAACATCTGTGAAAGAGTCTTCTGTAAATTGCTCGTCCGAGCCCCAGACACAGCTCTTCAAAGAAACTGCTTCACTAGAAAATGCAACATATTACAATAAAACAGAGTGATGGAAACCACAATAGCATATTGTGGATGGCTATGTTACTCCCGCAAATTATTATTTTATTTGAAGTGTTTGAAGATAAAATCCATTCTCTACACAGTATACTGAATAATTTGGCAAAAAAATAACTACATGTATGGGAATGTTCTGCTTACATTTTCAAACCAATATTTGCTGTCTTGTTTCATTTGACTTACATTAGAATCCAAATCAAAAGAAAAACATGCAAAAATGTAGAAAATAAGTGAAAAGCTGCTTTACTTAGACTTGGCGTATCTTGATTTCAGTACGTTTTCAACTTTTGGATAGTTTTGTGGTCAGAAATTTCTTGGGTTGTCTTTCATCAAAACTATTCTTTCCTGGAATGAGAAACATACTGCAACTGGAGGAAGTGTGTGTGGATAGGGAAGTCTGGGCGTCCCTGCTTAGACTGCAGCCCCCTGACCCGGCGATGGATGAAGCAGAAGAAAGTAAGTAAGTAAGTAATCTACATTTATATAGCGCATTTCACAGACCAAAGTCACAAAGGGCTTTACAATTGTGGACATTTGTCTCCCACTTCCCAGTGAGCGGGGTCACCAGAACAGGAGGTGCATGTTGGACCAATTGTTCATGTTTTTAGTGGTAGGGTAACCGGAGCACCCGGAGGAAACCTACGCAGACACGGGGAGAACATGAAAACTCCACTCAGAAACACCTGTTCAAACTCAGGACTTTCTTGCTGAGAGACAAGAGTGCTATCCACTCAAATGTTTTAAGACTTTCAAAATGCAAACATCAAGATACAAAAACACTCAATTTCATTCATTACCTTATATTTGATGACTGTTTGCAATGTAAAGCTGAGCATCATATTGAAAGAATTCTTGAACATTGCTGGGATGCTGTTGAATAAGACCATTCACAGACGCTTGAATACATTGCGCTTATTTACAAATCCTACGCACACTTTCACCCACATCACAAAGGACTCCACCGTACTCCTTTGACTCTGCAATGTGAACATATAGACTCATATCCCTCCTCTGGGAATGAAGACTATTCTTTGTGCATTTTGATCCTTTATATTTCCAACTGTATGCGCGTAATACTTGACATGTTATGCAAAAATCATGTCATCACCGCAACAAGACTGTGTTGTTTTCCACCTTTTAATAACATCTGGAAATACAGTTGGGTGTCAAAGCTTGTGAATTACTACTAATCAGCTATCTCATCCCCCCCTTTCACCAGCTCAAAAACAACCGTGCAAGTGCATTGTGGAGATTATAGTGTGTCTGTCTTTTTATCCGTTTTGATGTTGAACAAAGCTCTAACAACAAAGCGAACTCACATAACACGGTATAATGAGGCAGAAGAAT